TCAAGGCTCCATCTTAGGACCTCTGCATTTTAATATCTATATGCTACCACTGGCTCAAATAACGAAAAACAATGACCTAAGTTATCATATCTATGCAGATGACACGCAAATGTATATAACAATTTCACCAGGAGACTATTCTCCAATTACAACACTGAGCAAGTGCATTGAGCAAATCAATGAAAGGATGAGTAGGAACTTTCTCCAATTGAACAAATACAAAACTGAGGTAATGGTTTTTGGAGCAAAGGAGGAAAGATTAAAAGTCATCGCAGAGCTTCAGTCGGCAGACTTCAAAACATCAAATAAAGCAAGAAATCTAGGTGTAGTGATGGACTCAGACCTGCATTTTAACAGTCACATTACAACAATTATTAAGTCTGCATATTATCACTTAAGAACATATCTAGGATTAAAACACTAATGTCACAACAGGGTTTGGAAAAACTTGTCCATGCTTTTATCTTCAGTAGACTGGACTACTGTAATGGTGTCTTCACAGGTCTCACTAAAAAATCCATTAGAAAGCTGCAGCTAATTCAGAACGCCGCGGCTTCCAGTCTGTCAAATAATTTATTTTAAAGTACTGCTGCTGGTTTTTAAAGCACTGAATGGTTTAGGACCAAATTATATTAACGATCTCCTGCATAACTATGAACCATCCAGGAGTCTCAGGTCTTCTGGGTCGGGTCAGAAGAGTAAGAACTAAACATGGTGAGGCAGCGTTTAGCTATTATGCCCCGACTATCTGGAACAAACTCCCTGAATCCTGCAGGTCTGCTACTACTTTTAAATCCAGAATGAAAACGTATCTTTTTGCCGCTGCTTTTGATTGAGCCGTTCATATTCACACTGCAGTATGGCTTTTATTCATGTATTCTATACCTGTTGTGTTTATTTTATTATCTTTGCTTTTTAATGCCTGTTTTTAAATGCCATTTTATAATGTGTTTCTGCTGTATTTCTTCTTAAATGTCTTTTATTTTATTTTGTAAAGCACTTTTTGCTGTGTGCTGAAAGGTGCTATATAAAACTTGCCTTGCCTATATTTTTCTTTATTTGAAATGTCATAGTGCTAGGACTGATTTTATTATAGTAAAGATATTGTTTTTTCATACAAATTCAATGTGTCTATATGTTAAAAGTATCGTATTTTTAATGATTAGTTTAGCCTTTGAATCTATAGACAGAAATACTGGAGAGATAATCAGAAGTGATTAACTTCAATTCTTAGTTAATGCTTCATACTGCAGGGGACCATTTGAAGGCCATTTGACTGGCATGTATTTGATGTCCATCATAGTCTTACAGGGAAGAAAACAGAGCATTGTACTGAAGGTCATGTGCAAAGTAGAACAGTGTGTAAGACACCCGCAACACATTTGTCAGAAATACTATAAGAGTCGGGTACAAAATAAAAACCAAGAGTCAAATGTATCAGGTAATAAATGAAAATAAAACAAGGGTCATTTTTCATAGACTTCTATACAGCCAGGGCTCTTTTTCGTTTATAATCCTGATTTATTAAATGTAGCCTTTAAGATGCGGCATTATACCACTGCCGTTGAAGCTGCGCACGAATAACATCTGGGTAACTCTACCTGATATGATCTAACTGTCTGTAAAATCAATTAAACTTCAGCTGGACTTCGGTTTAAAGGTCTTTCCAAATGTTCAGCTATGGAAAAACGGACTTACGCCTCCGAAAACGCCTCCATTGGACTCCTTTGTTTACTTCCATAACATAGTGACATCACTGTGTGACACTCACGCTTCTATTGGCTAGTGCTATGTCATGGGCTAAGGGGTTGTACATCTCTAAGCAGTTGACCAATCACAACAGAGCCTGCCAACTAACCAATCAGAGCAGACTGGGCTCTGGTTTCAGACAGAGGGTGAAAAGAGGTGCTGCAGCACAGTTAGTATGAGAAAAATAAAGAGCTTTTTGAACATTAAAGCATGGCTTTGTTTGTGTAGACCTTTATATATGTATCTTTTGTGTTATTTTAAAAAACAAACACAAAAAACAAGAACATAAAACAAACCTATTAGCAGGGATACTTGATACAATGATACTTGTTTGGGTTTGTGAATAAAGATTGTTGTCTGCTGCTCATCTTCCCTTCATCTCTCTCTTCTCACAGCTTTGGGTTTGAGATAATGAAGTGTAGACTGATAAAAAAAATCAATGCTCTACTCTGATTTATGGTCACATGCATGCAGACATGCATATCTGTGGTGCCATTCTTGAATATGTTCTTGACTGAATAATATAAAATGTCATGCAATAATGTATATTTTATTTTATAATGCTATCACAGTAAGAGTGTGCACATTGGCCTGTGTTTCTCTGAGCAGCATCTACATACTGTAAGTAATTGAGGAGTCACCCAGGCTGACTTGATTACAGAGAAGAACGTTTTTAAAGACCTCTGAGAAAAGGAGAGAGAGTCAGAAAGAGATCTGATTTCTGCCTGCTCTGAGGAAACGTGTTCATTCATAAAGATGAACTCTTAACCTTGGAGTATATCAAATATCAAAGTACCCTTCAAGAATATAGAATGTGTATGTGTGTGTGTGTGTGTGTGTGTGTGTGTGTGTGTGTGTGTGTGTGTGTGTGTGTGTGTGTGTGTGTGTGTGTGTGTGTGTGTGTTTAATGTAGGTCTTCCTCTCAGCTTGTGTAAGCCATATTAACTTGTGACTTCCTGTCAACGACTGGTTGCTATGGATATGTTAATCTCTTGCTTTGCATATAAATCACCTCGATATAAGATATGACAGGCTTGTTGAGCTGCGGGATGTTGACATGTTGGTTGTTTAATCATAATCCATCACCTTCTGAAATATACATACAGACAAGGTGCAAAAAACCAGAACTGTCTGTTCTTAATCACAGCATTTTATTACAGAGAAACACAACAAACATACTGCACCGAAGCATCTGAACAACAATTTAGACAATGATAAAATATACAAAATGTCTCAATTTGCATGTCAACGGCCACGTTCTGATCACCCTCCATTGTCTTCAATGTGTGCCCTTGATTTGTTTTCTTAAAGAAAGAGAGCTGAAAAACATCCATCATTGGGAATTTCTAAACTCATCCTTACGCTACATGTTAGATCAGCTTTTATCGAATAACACAATGTTTCTATAAAGTGATTGGCCACGTGCAGAAATGGTATGAAGACCAGAAATACGTCCTTACATACAATAACGCAAGATTAACGTGTTTTTGGGCTTGTACAATGGCCACATACCAATTGAAAAAACCTGTTTGTTTAAAAATGTGTTCATACTCCGATAAAGTCATATCTATCAGAAATCTTTTCCCATCTGTCCAAGAAACGACACAGGACGTTTAATAATAAAAGCTCAAGGGCAGAGACGTTTGCAATATCGCAGGCAGCTGTGCTGGACTGATCAAAAATAGCCACTGTGTAGTTACAGTATATATATATAATCTATCAAATCTATTGTACAAGGCGCTGATGAAAACATGGTCACACAATAACACTTGCTACAATATATGCTGATATCATCCCTTGATTCAGCAGCTTGAAAGGCATGGATTTAAATGTGCAAAACAGCCACGAATGTAGACACATAAACACTTACATGGCATGAAAAATGCACAGGGACACACATTAGGTGGCATACAATGTTTACAGAGAGGTAACAGGTTTTGTGTTCAATGCTGGCAACATGTGTACAGAAAAACACTTAGCTGGCATAGAGTCACCTCTCCAGTGACGGAGAAGCTGATAAAGCAAGCAAGCCATCTTTTGAAAATAGTCACAGAAAGTGTTACAGCAGACTTTTAACACAGAGCTATACAACTTTCCATTCCAATTAAAGCAGAACACTTTTTTTTTTTTTAACTTCTTATTTTATACATATTATTCCTGTGGTTCTTTATAATTATATTAGTAAACATAAACTCCAAAATCCATGAGGGCTCAGACTCAAATTTGTGATGTCGTAAAGTATAAAGTCTCCAACTGCTCCAACACAGAGCACTCTGGGGTATCATCTAAATAAATGGATTACAATAGAAGTACAATAGAAAAATGCCTTTTGGGTATATCAATCAAATGTAATTGTCTATGGAGCTGCTTGCTCAAGACTTTATACCTGATGAAGTCACAGATTTGACCACTGGTTTTCTCTTCTCTTCTTTGTGGCTTTGAGAGAGAGTAGCTCATGTTCACAATTATCATGATTCCTGCACCATTGAAATAAGATATTGGTGTTTTCATTTAGGTGGTGTTCCTCTTTAAGTGAGGAGAACAAAAGTAACAAGGACCTTGAAACGGAAACAATGCACTTTTACAATAATACAGAAACACTCAACACTATAGTACTTTGTGATGTTTAGCTGTTTCATTAAAGCTGTAGTAGGCAAGATTTTTACTAGGAATCATCATTTCAGTTTGAATCAAAACGTGTGGTGTGCAAAAATGGAACGTTGTAATGCCCGGTTTACCTAAATAAACATTTCCTATACCTGCAGGAAATCTCCTCCGCTGTATTGAAATATGTCCTCGATGGCATTTCTGGTCCTGAAAAGTAATGACCTTCTAACATGTTGAGTGACAGATAAACAGAATGTGAAAGAAGAACATACTGTAGTAATGTTCGTGTCTGTTCAGGAGCTGTGAGGATAGCTGAAAGCGGTCTGAAAAGGCACTTGTGTCAGATGGAAAGAAATGGAGGTTGTTGAACAGCTGAGCTATTCATACAGGTAAAGATTCACCGTGACTCGTAAGTGATGATGATGTTGTTTACCGTAATGGATCAAAAATGCTGAAATGCATTTAGGAGTGTTGTCAGAATATAGTCCCGGAAATGCCTTTTAGGTTGGAAATGCTGACAAGCATCCACTTTTTCTGTTTTCATCAGCTACTTCGATGCTTCCACTTATGTGACATGATGTTATATTTCCTCCTCCGCTTTTCTTTTCACTTCCTACAACCCCATGATATCCATCGATCGCTGGCTACTGTTCCGGAGGAGCTATGGATGCGGGAGAGGTGGGGGAGGTCAGGGCAGTGACGGTGGGAAGATCAGCCGGGGTTACCATGGAGGCCGCTGTGGAGTCTACCGGGGTGGTGGGGGGTCCGACTCCTGGGCAGCAGGAGAAAGGTTGAGGTGTTGGGGTGGAGCGGTGCAGGTCTGCTGCTGTGTGGGAGGTGGGCGAGCCTGGAGGGTGAGGAGAGATCTTCAGAGAGAGAGAAAGAGAGCCAGAGGCAGAGGAAGGGGGATAAAGGAAAAGGGCGGGAAAAGCAGTAGAGGGTCAGTTAATTCCCCTTTGGGTGGGTCTACATTATGTTAGGGCAGAGAAAGGAGGACTAATGTGAATAATTACAAGCCAATTACACACCATTTTGCAATGATTACCTTGAGTTTTCCGCAGTCTTTGATGCATTTTCCCTCTTTACTCCCTATGATTCTTTTATGAAAATATCCTGATTGTATGTGTGTGCAGGATAAGCCATTATCCTCACCTTTAAGCATTTAGCAGCAGAAATAAATCTACACAACATGGAATTGTGGTAAATGGAGTTCAGGTTTGAATGTCCATTCATCATAATATGGTGTATATTTAGGTATGAATCAAATTACAGTCACACACATGAAGGCTTCACTAGTAACAATGCAGCATGTGATCCAGAATAATTTTACCTCATTGTTAATACGCAGCTTGGTTGAAAATCGATTTTCTTTTTTTCTGGTTGGTCAATTACTGCATTCAGAAGCAGAAGAATGGTGCCATGGAAGGAGTTCAGATTAAAGGCTCCGGAGAAGGCAACAAAATCATTTTTGAATCAATAAATATTTATATTTATATAATTACTTATGTCAATTTATTGATTTCTTAAAGGTCACCTATTATGCAAAATCCACTTTTGTATGTCTTTTATACATAACCATGTGTCCCCTCTGTGTAAAGAGACTGAAAGTTTCAGGAAAAAAGATTCACTCACTTTTTGTCCTGATCCATTTATATAAAAACCTGTCTGAAAATGAGCTGATCAGATTTTGGCCACTTTATGATGTCATAACGATCTTTTGGCTTGTAACCATTAGCCAATCACCAACCAAGGTAACACCCGCCCCCCCCCACCTTATCACCTGAATCTCCTCCTAGAGCACCATTGTGCCTTGGGAGTGGCTCCTTATTTTCATCTAAAGCAGGGGTCGCCAACATGTCGATTGCGGAGGTTTTCCGAGTAGCTCACCAGAGGGCGCTAAAGTGCAGTTGACATGTTGCGACATATTTATTTATGTAGTATATTTTGAGAGTAAGAAAGATAGAGAAAAAGAGATGTAAGATGCAGTCATGACAACTGAGGAAGGTCCGTCAAAGAAGAAATCTAAAATATACTACTTTCATGACGAGTGGGAACATGCATTTTTATTTACGAGCATCAAAGACAAGTGTGTGTGTTTAATTTGTGGCTCGAGTGTTGCGGTGGGGAAGAAGGGAAATGTGGAGCGGCACTTCACAAAACTTCACGAAAACTTTTCAAAGGAGTATCCCGCCGGCAGTTGCCTTCGCGTTGAGAAGGTACAACAATTAAAAGCTACGCTACAAAGGCATTGTTCACGAAGCCTGCCAAGAAAGCTAGCCTAGCTACAGAAGCATCGTTCCGAGTCGCTCAGTATTTGGCAAAGAACAAAAAAGCTTTCACTGATGGCGGTGTTCTTAAGGGAGCGATGTCTGTTATGGCAGAGACTTTGTTCAGAGACCACAAGAGCAAGTCGGAGATAATGTCTGCCATTGACGATGTGCAACTGGGACCCAACACTGTGGCGAGGAGAGTGTCAGCGCTGTCAGTGGATGCCATGGGACAGTTGGAGCGGGACATGGTCAGGTGCAAGTGGTTCTCCATACAGTGCGACGAGTCGCTGGATGCGAGCGACACAGCTCAGCTGTCTGTGTTTATCCGGATGGTGTTTGAGGATTTTACGGCGAAAGAGGAATTTCTGACATTGCTTCCACTCACAACAACAACAAGAGGTGTGGACGTGTATAATTCTATTAAGAATTATTTCATAAATAAAGGTGTGCAAATGGAGAAGCTTGTATCCATAACAACTGATGGAGCCCCGGCTGTGAGAGGTCGCCACAACGGTTTTATCGCAAATTGTTAGTCAGATCCATATTTCCCACGTTTCCTGAGTTACTATTGCATCATTCACCAAGAAGCACTTTGTGCCAAAGTTATGGACTTCAATCACGTCATGAAACCTGTGATAAAAATAATAAACTCTATACGAGCGAAGGCAAAACAACACAGGAGCTTCAACGTTTTTCTTGAGGAACTGTCAGCTGAATATGGAGATCTCCTTCTCCATGCTGAGGTGAGGTGGTTGAGTAGAGGGAAAATCCTACAGCGCTTCCTCTCCTTGCTGAATGAGGTAAAGCTCTTCATGGAAGAGAGAGGGGAGGACACCTCCATCTTATCTGACGCTGGTTGGGTACTTGACCTGGCCTTTTTGACTGATCTGACAGGAAAATTAAACCAGCTTAACCTCCAGCTACAAGGCAATGGCAAAACAGTATGTGACATGATTAGTGCTGTAAAGGCCTTTAAAGCAAATCTGTGTCTATATCTCCAGCAAGTAAAGGGAAAGAAATTGCATAATTTCCCCTCTGTTCAACAAGTACTGCAGGAGAATGAAGCTGCTGCTGGCTTTCTTGACTTGTCAAAGTACTGTGACTGCTTAACTAAGCTTGGGCAGGAATTTCAGTGTGTGTGTGTGTGCGTGTGTGTGTGTGCGTGTGTGTGTGTGTGTGTGTGTGTGTGTGTGTGTGTGTGTGTGTGTGTGTGTGTGTGTGTGTGTGTGTGTGTGTGTGTGTGTGTGTGTGTGTGTTATTAAAAGTGTTGTTTACTGTCTACTGTTTCAATAGAGTCAGAGTCAGTCACTTGGATAAGAGTTAGTAAAATATCAAGGTTTGACTTGAAGTGTGTTAATGTTATGTTAATGAAGATTCTAATGCAAAGTTGAGATTTGGTTTTACAAACAGCTATCTCATATGTATAAAACTTAGCCAAGGCCACCTCCCTACAAGGACTTCTGCAGACTTTGACTATGAATTTGTTAAAGACCAAATAAAATGTAATCAAGGAGAATATTCTTATTGACAATGACGCTTTGTTGTGTGGAAATGTCATTTTGAATAGATCAGGCATGTTTCCCCCCAAAATCCGCCAACAAACACACACGCACATACACACAACAACAACATATACACACAGATGCACACCGTACCTGGCTGCTCTGGGGGTCGTGGTAGGCCTGGTTTCGTTGGGAGAAAAGGACGCAGTCGTGTGACGCGGTTTTCTCCGTGCGAGGAGCACTGGGGTCGCTGTCATCCACACCGTTGGTCTTGCACCGCACAGTCCCCACGCTCAGAACCTGCAGGGCCACAACAACAGAAATGGTGTCATTCTCAAAGATTGGGATATCATTTTCTTTTAGCATCTTTCATATTGTTCTAATGACATACAAATTACGAAGAATTGGACAATTGCATTGAAAGTTGGTCGTCTATGAGATCAGTCTGTTCATCTCAGTGTCCTTGGGTCATAATGTCTGGGATAAAGCACCGTGTATTGCTGTCATTCTTGATACTACCAGCAGACGGCGCCAAAGTCAAAACTTCACAAATACCACACTAAAAGAAGAAGTGTGTTGCTAGCTGGGTTGACTGAAAATAAAACAACAGCAAAATGTAAAGCTCTTCAACCCCAACTTTTACACCAGTGTCAGTTCTATTGAGTTTTCCTTTGATAAAGGTTTCTCATATGAGTTACGTGATTCAACTATTAAAATCCTATATTCCACTAAATAATGGAGCCGTTCAAGTCAATGCATTATCTCCAAAATAAGGTCCTACAAATATTTCACTATGTTTTTAAATGTAAAGGGCTTTTCATTTAAAAAAGCAAGAAGTTCCACAACGCACATGCGCTGCTGAGGTAGGCATTGTAGCCAGGACGAAAGAATCAAATGTAAATGTAGTTGTACAAACTATTTTGCTCTGCAGTTTGCTTTGCATGTTAACGCACTACCAATCATTGTCAGATAACCCTAAGAAGATTATGTTGCCTTTAGACAGGACCGCTAGTTGTTTCCACCTGCTCTCAGTCATTACGCTAAGCTAAGCTAAAGGGCTACTACCTGTAGAGACATGACAGTGGTATTGATCTTCCATCCATATCCCTGCAAGAAAGCAAAGATGTCTATTTCCTAAAATGTCAAACTACTTGTTCAACCTTCGCCTTGAGGATATTTAACCTACCTTTCTGAAGCTCTGCCTGAAGTTGTCTGACAGGAAGCCGTAGAGCACCGGGTTGGCACAGGAGTTGGCGTAGGTCAGGCTGACAGCGAAGAAATAGATGCCGGCACTGAGGCTGGACTCTGGGATGATGGCCACCAGATTGACTATGTTGATGATGAAGAACGGCAGCCAGCAGAGCACAAACACCACCACGATAACCACCACCATCCGCGTCACCTTGCGCTCAGAACGCCGGCGCTTGGTGAAGCCCGCCCGCACCCCTGATGACTTAATCTGCACCCATTGAATGATGATTGAAGGGATACAAATGTTGGTAAGATGTTGAGGATGATTGAAATGATCAATATTTAATAACAGCACAAGAACACACACACAAAAACACACATTTGTACACACCTTGATAATGATAAGCAGGTAGCAGAAGCAAATGATGAGCAGGGGTCCAAAGAAGCCCACTGTGGCAGTGTAGAGGATGAAGGCTGTTGACCACGCGTTCTTTGGCTCTGGCCAGTTCATGTTGCAGGAGTTAAATGTGTCCTATAAAGGAAATACAATTAACCTAAGTAAAACAAATACAAATTAAGCAATTATCTGCTCAGTCAGACTGGGAGAAAAACACAGACGGTAAACAATAGACTTCAATTGAAACTATAAAGCGTATTCATAATGCAGAAAGGGATGTTAGGAGAAATTCCAATGACATTCTCTGCTTTCTCAAGAAAGCACATTTTGCTTTGTGGATGACATTTCCAGACTTGATGTTGTTACATGTTGTGTTTGCCTAGAGAAACGACTGTCTAACTGCAAGTAACTTGTGGTTTTGTTATCAACGGCCTTCAGCAGTATGGTTCGCCGTTGACTGAAGAAACTTTGTTCGGAATATTCTCCACCCACCTTTATTTTAAAAGTGTTGTGTTGCAGAACTTGCTTCATTGTTTTCTCCTCTCATATAATACCTTCGGATATTCAGTTAGTTCAAAAACAACTTGCGTATTCTTTCCATCAAAGTATCTCTTGTATAATCATGAATGCTCAAAAGGTTCAAGAAGACAAAGGCATTCTTCCAATTAAGTCTTAGGAGACAAATTATTGAATTTCTTGCCTTGAAAATGTTCTTCTATTATTCATTTATTTGAGCTCTGTTTTTGGTCTCTATCTATGTCTTAAGAAATGATCTAGCTGGTACAGTGAGTGCTCCACTTTGTTCTTGCCATCAGCAAATGTTTCTGTTGACCATAATTGTATTTATTGTATATACATGAACGTAACCAATTCCAGCTGTTATACTAAGCTAAGCCTGTGATGCCCTTAGCTCCATATTTAACCTAACAGACACAAATCTGGAATCAATATCCTTGTATTTCTCTCAACAAGAAAGTGAATTCAGTGTAATTTGCGGAATTCAAATGATCCCTTTCAGTATGAGAAAAATAAAGAGCTATTTGAAGATGAAAGCATGGAGACAGAAGAGGCCATAAATACAAATATGAAATGTGAAGATGAGCATAATATGTTCTCTTTAATACAGCCTAGGAAGATAAAAAAAAGCTTAAATTCAAGATGATCGATGAAAAAGTGTAATAATTTGCTGAGGGGGGAGTAATACGTAATGTTGAACTACATGACGATTTAAACAATTCCTTGTTTTCATATCAATTTGGGATGTAACAAAAGGGATGAACCGACTGTGTTTTCTAATTCTATATGAGCTTTTAACTAGACTTAGTAGAACATTAAGGATTTTTAATCAGGAGGAGCTTTTAAAGTTCAAGTGTGTATGAGTTTCTGGTCTCTAGCGGTTGATGAAAACCAACTGAAAACCACTCCTTTCACCTCTCCTTGCGATGGCCTTTAGTAAACACCAACATGTAAAAGTCCCTCTCTCGAGCCAACGTTTAATTTGTCCATTCTAAGATATTGTAGAAACATGGTGGTGCAACTTAATGGATGTTGGGAAGAAAACCCCCTCCCCGTGTAGATTTCCAAGGACCCTACACTTTAGTTGAAGCTAAACAGAAAAGGTGAAGCACATGTAGGACTGAAGTTTTTACCTGAACATCAGAGAAGATGAACACAGGCAGGACCACCACAAAGGACACGGCCCACACGGCTGCGCTCACCACCTTGGCCACGCGGGGGTGCCTCCACTTGGTGCTGCGGATTGGATGAACCACAGCCAGATAACGGTCGATGGACATTACCGTCAGGCAGAAAATGGACGTGAACTGGTTCATGCAGTCTGCTGTCATGACCACGCGGCACAGGAAGGTGCCAAATGGCCAATAGGAGAGCACGTTCTGCGTGGTGAGGAAGGGGAGCCCGATGATGTAGAGCTCATCGGCCACAGCCAGGTTCAAGATGTAGATGTTAGTGACTGTCTTCATTTTGGCATGGCGCAGCACCACGTAGATGACCAGAGTGTTGCCGGTCAGACCCACCATGAAGACTGTGAGGGAGATAAGAGCGGTCATCAGGGTGCTGCTGCCCTGGAAGGGGGCACTCTGAGTGGACAGGTTGGATGAGATGTTGGAGAGGTGGAGGTAGGAGAAAGGGAAAGGCGACGGGGGGGCTGCAGAGGAGGAGTTGAGGTCTGATGCCAGGGGAAACCAGTAGCTTTGCTCAGGAGGCTCCATTGTAGGTTTCAGAGAGGATGATGGTGCCAGAGTCCAGATGTAGATTTGTTACCTCAGGTTTTTACTAATTTAAAAGAAAGTCATTACTTCCGCCTTGTTAGTTTCCACTTTGGAACAGAAACAAATCAATGTAAGTAGAAGCCTTTAAAAAGCAGCTGGAAACTCACTAACATGTACAGACCCTTGTTTCGCCTCGAGTGTTTGTCATTTTTGTATCTTTTTAAGTTCTGTTTCTGCTGATGTTTATTTGTTGTACTTTTTTTTCTATTTTCTTTTTTTTAAAAGGATGCTATATTGGAATAACTTTACTTACTCACTAGGCATCTAGGCAACAATGAAATAGTGGTTTGACCCATTTGATCTATATAAGTGTCTTGAATTTAGGTGTGTGCTATGTGCCTTAGATAAAGTAGGCGACTCATAGCAGTCAAGTGTACTGACCACTGTTACTCTCTCCTTGGAATGACAAAGTGTGTGTTTTCATTTTCTTTCAATGCTCACATGCGCCATGAGCCAAATCCAGATACTAATATGTATTGTCTTGTATCTTACATTCGAACAGGTTTTTTTAACAAGGAGTAATATCCGTACAGTAATTACTCACCGGTTTCCGATTTTAATAACACTGACTATCAACATGACACTGCAAACATACAATCCATCTGCTGCCGCACGCGTCAAGCGGGAGTATCGCTGGTATCAGTGGCACAGCTTTTACGCACGGCAGACCTGCCTGGAGCTCGATAATAACGCCTGCTTTATTAATTTAGGCGATACTCTCGGTGTTAGTTATGCATAAAGGGTATCTAATCTAAACTTTGCTTAAGGACTTTTACTACCAAAGAAAAGCTACGTTTTTACCTCTCGCATACATTACACAAAGACGAGAACACGCTTACTTTGCCAAGCAGCGCAAAATACTTTTGAGAGCAATCAAAATCAGAAAATCCCCAAACCAAACTCCTCACTGTCCATTTAGTCTCCCGATTCTCCAAAAATATCGATGGATAGCTTGTGTCCCAGCTCCTAATCGTCCGCTGTCCGTGGTGCTGAGCAGAATGTGTCAGCAGCAGCTCCTTCCTTCTTCTACTTTCTTTCCTCACAGCTCTCTAGAGGGAGAGAGAGGGGGGAGGGGGAGGGGGGGGGGAGAGACGTAGTTTAAGCTGTCACCCGTCAAAATGTCCAACGACATCAGGTGTTGGCTCTGTTTGCTTCTGCAATATTGGTGAAATTCATGCAAAATATGAAATGTACATTGTATACATGACATGATGATGCAGTGCTTAACACTAAGACACTACACATAAGGTTAAGATCTTTCTTATAAACAAACAAAAGCGTGATATTTACATTCAGTGACACAGCTTGAACACACATGGAAAAAATAAACAGAACGACTCACAACAATATTGATTCAAAGCCCTACTTGTGGTCAAAAACTCCACAGGGTTCCTTGAAGAGGCCCTATTTTGCTGATTAGGGTATACACTTTCCTGTAGTGTTATATAGGTTTGCCTGCATGCCTTGGTTGGACTCCTTTGTTTACTTCAGTGACATCACTATGTAACATTATCGCTTCTATTGGCTAGCACTCGAAACACATTGTATGTGATAGACTAAGGGGTGAGAAATCTCTAAGCCGTCAAATCTTCAGATGAAACAACAGCTGGTTCTTTCCAATTACAAATAATAATATCAGAGAGATCCAACTGAATCTGTGACTCCAGCTGCTCATAAATCAAGGCTTTAAAAGCTGCTTCTGTGCAATGATTAATTCAGACATGTTATTTACAGGGTGGACATCTAAGCACCAATACATTTTATATCAAACAATTCATTATTCTACTTCATTCTTCTGGTTATGTTGATGTACTGTTGGGATGTATGCCATGTGAGATAACATTTACACACATATATCTGAGTATGCAGTAGTCATTTTCTAAATGACTTTTGGTTAAAGGATTGTACTGTTGCTGTATTAAAAATAAATCATTAGCAGAGACAACTACACTAGCCTTGTTTAGAATCGAATCATTAATCGTTAATCCACAACACTGGACTCCCACTGTCACATTATAGAACTGAAACCCTGCCAGGGAGGATTAGTTAAGGCAACAGGTTGCTATCTTCTGTTATCCTGTGTCCATACATGTACAGTATGTGGGCCTGTAAGGCACTTTGATAACGCTTTTGCAGTTGAAAGCTGAGGAAGAGTTCAGTGCTGTTGGTGTGTCTTAGATTTGCTTTGATTGATGGCTCAGGAATATTAAGTAACATTTCCAATGCACCCACTCAGTCAGTCCTGGAAACACCCCTTTCAAAACAGGTGAAGGTGTTAATTCCCCAACCTCTCTTACAAGATACAAGGTAAAGAACTCAAACAAACAAGTGAAAAGTGTGCATAATAATCAGTTTATCATTGTCATATATTCCAATTCATATCTGTTGCATTCTATAAATGTATTTTCTGGAATTAAACTGTTTCTTCCTGTCGCACTATTTATTTGTTTTAAGTATGAAAGCAAGCATGTCTCATCATGTGCATCTTTAAGTGTTAGTCATTCGAAAAGTGTCAAACTGACTATTTGTACACACACACACACACACACACACACACACACACACACACACACACACACACACACACATACACACACACACACACACACACTCTCACACACACACACACACACACACACACACACACACACACACACACACACACACACACACACACACACACACACACACACACACACACACACACACACACACACACACACACACACACACACACACACACACACACACACAATAGTAGAGCACTGTGGCAGCTAGTCAGATACATGATGCTCATACGCTTCCATGATCATTACATTTATCATTGACTTGTGTTACCACGTTACCTCTTTTCTTTCTCTTTCTCTTCTCTACGGGGAACATGGTGGTAGAAAGAGGATCCGCCCCCCCCCCCCCCCCCACTATGACCATTTGTACACACACACACACACACACACACACACACACACACACACACACACACACACACACACACACACACACACACACACACACACACACACACTAACATATACACAGCTAAAACAAACACACACACAGAGCCTTTAGTACATATCTGAGTGTCAGGTGTGTAAAAGAGGGGAAGGTCTATGCCCATCTCCACAACAATCCCCTGGAGTGAAACTATCACACAACCCGAGGGTTGACCTTACCAGCCTGTCAGAGGACATTAGTGTCCTGTGGGCAGTGTGTATTTGAGAAACATAAAAGAAAAGCGGGCAAACAGGGCTGACCAGAGAGAAAAGGGGAATGGAAATGGTCTTTTGAAACCCAGAAGGGGAGCAGTTTTACTCTGTGATGTAACATAACCCCAGCGTATTTCTGATTAGAGCTTATGGCAAGTCCAGGAAATCAATGATAACATTGGCCTTGGCTGATTTAAATATCCTGACTTGCATCTGTGAATGGTAGGGAGTTCGCACTTGTGATGCAATATTTGAGCCCCAAAATGCATTGCTGCTTTTAAGAGGTGGATGGCTTAAAAGAAATGACCGTTTGATTAAATAACTGTGAGTTATGGTAAGATTTCAGAGGGACAGTACAGGAGCTCACATGTAAAATATACTGTAGAAATCATAATAAACAACACAAATATTTAACAATTGTTGCATTCCCTTTACATTTTACTAGAATATATGATATTGAAATGAATATAAATAATTGATTTACATTACTAATCTATACACAACTTTAAATCAGCAGTTGCTTGAGCCGCTAACATTTTGAGGATGTTAAGGCTCTAATATAGAAGGCAGTGTGCAGTACAGGCAGATTATGTATGCAGTGCGTTAACATGCAGTGTGTCAAGATGTCAAGCGCAGCCATAGTGTGAAAGCCCCTTATGAAACAACAACTGTCGGCCTAACTATTACTGCTATTTAAATAGACAGGTGGTGAAAACAGAGGGCAGGCTGAGAACACTTTAGACGAAGCTCCTTGACAGAACAAACAGGATCTTCCTCATTAAAATGCACTACAATATGATATCAAAACAGGGTCGGGGCTGGTGTTGCCGTGGCAATAGAAGCCACTGTGTAAAAAAAAAAAATCTTCTATTTAGCTTGCTTGCTCTCTTTCCTTCTTTCATGAAAAACAAAACCAAGAAAAACACAGGTGAAAAATGGACATCTCATACCTCACTTTCCCATTTTGTATATGATTTTTGACCTTTGTCATCAACCATTCTGCGTGCTTATCTATCACTTTGTGTGTTTTGCTTCACATTTCGATCCAGGTGCAGATCTTAAATCTTGTTCTATTATTAAATTAACACATTTAAGTGATTGTGCAGCATTGGCAGAGGTATGTGCTCGCTGAGTGCTTCCTGGCTTGGTCTATTTATTTGATATTTCTCATGGCTGGACTTTAGCAGATTGTGTTTCTCCAAATTTGGCTTGTTGCCGCAGATTGCAGTTGCTTTTGCTTATTTTCTGAATCTTCACTAATGGGTAGTTACTTTTACAAACACTTTAAAAGTCCATTAGAGGTTTTACATTTAAAATCCACAAAGACATCAGATGAATGTCTGTGTGGATACAAATATTTCTTTGATTATTTCATATTTCAAAATAACGTTTTCATTCTGTAGCTTTCAAAGGACCAACATGTGATAATTAGCGGAAATAAAAAGGCTTTTCACTCAGTACAGCATACTTGAAAAAATAACCAAAGTATTTACGGACTCACATGGAGTGTTGAAAAACTGCAGTAATTACATTACTCTAACTCATGAGCTTTAAATGGGTGCTTTCCTTAACTTTAAGGTCATCAACACCAGAATCACAATAACAAAATGGAAAGCAATTTCAGGGCTCTGCTTACAAACCCCTTTCTACTCAGTGAATGTATTTTACACTCATCAACCAGCTAAGTTTAGATCATGAATGGTGTCAGCGTTACTACTACCGCTGCAACAGATGACACCACTGAAAGATTATTGCAGGCTCACACATGAATGATGTCTGTGTTGATGATTAAAATTAAGTCAGAAAAAAATTATCTGAATCACAGCTTGCTTGTTATAAAATAAATGAAAGGAGATACTGGATAGCAATCAGAGGGTCTGCAGCCTTTTGAGGTCATGGTGATGCACATTACATTCATGAAGGATGCTAGTTTAGTCAATGAAATGATTAGCATTTGCCAAAGTACATTAAAGTTTCTAAACAACTTATGTGGATCATATCTTGATTAATTGGGTCATTTCTTTGGTCTTTCGAGCACCTCCAGCCGTCAAGTTCCTTTAGGCACACATCTCTGTGTTCGATATGTCCAATATTTGGCAACCCACGCCAAAACAATTTAGATTGAGAAATAGCACTTCAGGTGAAAGGAAAAACTGTGTATTTGATTTTTAGTTGAGTTGTATATTAACGCACTTTAAAAATAAATGCTAGTTCCAAACTATTTTTTGACTGATTTAAAAGAAAAGTGAATTAAGTCATGTTGTGAACTGTTATATTGTGTTGTTTGTACTCCATACCATGCGATTTGTACATATATTCTTAAAATCTCAATCTGGATTACATTCAATTTAAGATATTTCAAGTATGAATAAAAGCAGCAAAGAAAACAGAAAAAGAGACCACTTTAAAACCAAAACGTGAACACGCAGTACATAAAATGTATAAATAGCGTTCATTCTGCTCATCACTGATGGATGGATAATGAGGATCAATTTCATCCCCAAAGTGAACATGAATTAGATTTGAGGTGGAGGTGATTGCAGCCCTTGCAGAGATATTGGAAGAAGTGCTATCATCCTTTTCTCCCTCTATCCACTCACTCATTGCTATTAATAGATCAACATATGTATCCTGTTATCTAGTTTATGATACAAGCCTGGAATACAATACATATAATGCAGTCCATTCATTGGTCCATTAAATAAAGCACTATAGAATTTTGAGGTATACTTTACTTGAGTATTTTTCATGTTCTGCTACTTTTACATCTACTGCTCTACTTTTTAGAAGGAATTAATGTACCTTATCTCCACTTCCTTTATTTGATACATTTTGTAGCAAAGCAGTAACAGTGCAATGATGTAATTAACAAAATACATTAAATCCTTTTATGTTTAAAGATACTCAAACACTTGATTGATTGATTCCAGCATATATATTGTATATTTTATATATTTACACTGTGCATTTCTCTCTCTTAGTAGGAGTCACGATCGTCTCCTTTGAGCAGTTGCTGGCTTCTTTTTCTGAACCTAACCTGGTTCTTTAAAAACCAAGAAAAAGCGATATGAAAAAAAAGGATGATAGTCATTCAAAACATCTATTATGATCTGTGTTCTTTCACATCCTCATTTCAGCCTTGGATAACAAATCTTCCATTTCCGTCCACCACGTGCCTCCAACTCCCTCACTGTCCCCCCTCTCCCCCTCTCTTCCTGTAGCCCTACAATAACACAGACAGAGGCCTCATAAGTGCTGTTTTCCTGGCCGGGCTGGAGGACCCTCCCCATAACCAAACAGGAGCCAAGCTCATTTTACCTTCACCCAGCCCAGACTGGACCATTTCATACGTTGGGATGGAGTCGTTCAGCAGGGGCAGCTACCATCGTCTGTAATGTTCAGCCGAATATCTGCAGGACTCACTGCTTGATATATGGAGTTCTATTAGGATAAACTAACTAAGTATACAGGTTGGGTGGCCAAAATCCATATCCTTAAGTAAAGAGTATTTTACTTGTATCAATTATTCATCGTAGTATGGAAAATAAATCCATATTTAAAATTAAAAACCTCATCGTTGTTTTCACCAAGCTTGTGCCGCACTTTGTCAGTTAATGTCATACTTTGGTTCACACGGAAATATCTAAACACGTAATGAATACATTCCATGACATTCTGTTACACACAATCATCCCCTCTCAGGATACATTTTAATAACTTTACGATAACTCCATTAACTTTTCATAGTAGCATCATCAAGACATTTGTAATGTATCCAATACTTTGGTTTATGGACAGAAACTGAAGTTATTTTAGAAAACTTTATTTATACTATAGACCACTATTCATATGGTTTATCATTAAAAGTTAGCATGCTTGTTAACTAATTCAAGAAGGTGGACATTAAAATGCATCATACATAATTTACATTATAGTATTAAAGGTCCCATGTCATGGCCATTTCTACTGATCATAATTCCATTGTTGAGGTATACTAGAATAGATTTAAATTGTGCAATTTTCCAAAATCACATTGGTTTCTCATACAGCATCTCTGTATAGTATGTGTATTCACCAGGTATTCACTCTCTGTCCTAAACGGCTTGTTGGAGCTCCTGCCCCCCCCCCCTCCCTGTGAGCCCAGTGTGCTCTGATTGGTCGGGACGTTGCGAGGCTCGTTGCGAGGCTCGTTGCGAGCTTCTTTGCGAGGCTCGTTGCGAGGCTCGTTGCGAGGCTCGTTGCTGCTGCGAGCTGCTGCGAGCTGCTACGAGGAGCGGACAGGTTTCCGGGTCGGCGATACAGCGAGACACAGCGAAACTCATCCTGAGCACACACAAACACTCACAGCCGAAGTAAAAACAATAAGTGTGGCTTAATATTGAGTAAGAAAAAGGTTTATAACGCTGTGAGAATGGGTCTGCGGAGAGCATTTCTCCGCGATCCCAACTCGTCTATTACCAGCGTTCAGGGAGCTCTATGCAAGTCAATGGGGACTCCCTGTTAGTTAGCCAAGGGATCCTGGTGTGTGAGGTGCTCCGCGGATTGGTCCATTTGGGCCAATCCGGTCATTTGTTGTTGCAAACAATGGAAAAAGAGAAATCTCCAACGAGGTGTTCTGGGGCAGCATATGGTCTTTTCTGTGTTAGAGTTTTACTCGCTACAGGGTGTACTTTGAGGGTTTTTGACTCTGCAGACCGTTTACATGAATAAAAACCTTCATAACACACAAGGGGACGGGTAATAACCGGAAAAGCATGACATGGGCCCTTTAATAGCTGTTATACATCAGCAAATTGAGCATCTTAACATTAATATATGGCCTCAGAGAGCTGCTAACATGGATGTGTTTGTTTGTTACAATTTGTCAATTGAACTTCAAGAGTTAGGAGCACATTCTGAAAAGGAATGACATGATTTGCAGATAACTTGATTCAATTTAACAAAAGCTAATCGACCTGAACATACGTCAGTATTCTCTTCATGGATTGCTCCGGTCGCTCATTGGTCTACGGTCTAACACCCAACTGATTTTCTCTAAGCTTGATTGTGATGATAGTAATTTTCTTCCTTTAAATAATGTGGGCTTGTGAAGCCCTTTGAGACTGTGACTGTAATTACGGGTCATGCAATTAAAGTTGACAAGGACTATCTCAACCTTTGTGTCATTCCCTCCCTCCTTGTTCCTGTTCAGTGTAAAGGCAAACTGAAGCCCCCCATGTGTAAATGGCTCTTTCAGAGATGCTGCACTTCATCTATACACCTGGGGTTCAGGAACTTAGCAATGTAGCTTCTCTGATGAGAAATTATATCAAGATTTATTCTTATACACCGTTGACCAAATGGAAGAGACGTGTCAACCAAAATGAAAGGGCCACTGTACTGGACACATCACCTAAGATACAATCAAATCCAAATGCAATGTTTAACCCTTTTATTTCCTTGGACAACATTTTGTGTTTTAGGATTTTATATTTAGCTAGGGACATTATTTTAAATCTAGCGGAGATCCCGAAGTTTCCAAAAATATGTGTATACATGATGATTAAATCAAGCAACATTAAAAAGAAAAACATATTTTCCCCTTTAATACTTATTATTTCAACAATCTTAACGGACATTTTGCCTAAAAACATTTGGCCCATCCACTCTTCCATTTACAAACACCTCCAACACGTGCCCTCCACTGCTACAGGAAACACAGAGAGACATGGAAGTGCACATGTGTCTAAAAAAAGAAGTTTTGCAAATGTAATTTCATAATGAAATCACAGAAGAGTGGTGTTATTTTACACGTTAGTGACAAAAATCTTCACATCTCAGTGGGTGATGGAGGCCATGTCATCAGCAGTCATATCACTCGAGATGAAGGAATGCAGAGTGGCTACATCAAGGTACTAAAAAAGTCATGTCTTTTTGGACTTGCATTTTATTCATTTTTGCATGAATAATAATTTCAGAATGAATCTATGCATGATGGAGACTAACTTGAGGGGGTACAACTTCATCATCCCACCTGCAGCTCTTCTTCTGCAGAGATAATGAAATACAGACCTTCATGATGCACTGAGCTAATGCTGCTTTGACAAGTGTAAACTCATTTATTGATTTAACTGTATTTGAATTGATTTAATCTGCGCTTGGCTCAACTTAATGCTGAGTTTTTATTGGTACTGCATGCCCAGAGACTGACTTTTATTTCTTAAGAAACATGAAGAGAGATCTGCCAGCTGAAAAACATCCAAAGAACTTCTGAGGACAGCATGGGGAGAGAAAAAACAGAAAACTCTCAACAATATGACAAAGTGCTATTGTTAATTGGACTGTGAATATTCCCAGATATGTTATCTGGTTACTGTAGAAAAGAGGAAAAACCCACATTTCAAGATTCAAGATTCAAAGGTTTTAATGTCATATGCACATAAGCTACAGTGTAGAAATGGCAATGAAAATCGTATGACCCGAGCTCCTCCAACAATGCAACATATAATAGAATACAACTATACAAATTGACGATGTGCAGCGTCACCACTAAAAACACACACAAGTCTAAATAATTTATAAATGCCATTGTCACAACATTTATATTGCATTTACAATTTTCAAAATAAATGTTGACAAAAAGGCTGGTTTTGTCACTGGCAGGTTAAAACAATAATGACCATGATAATAGAAAGAAGACTACATCATTTTCAATACAACAATTATTCATTATTGTTTTATTTAGACTTTTGTAATTGTTTCTACTTTATAAGTTGTGTTCAATGCAATGAGTACAATTTGGCTTCTACTGTACATTGAGAAAGTAATGAGGGAATGAAGCAGGGTGCAGCGGGGGCTCATGGTACTGCATCGAGTGGAAGGAGGAGGAGAGAGGAAGTTCTCCAAAACTTTTTTTCCCCTGAAAGGATTGTGGAGAAGCTCCGTTAGATTTTCAGAAGAAGGGGGATCCGACCATAAGAAGTGAAGAAAACGCAGTGGAGCTAACGGTGTCTAAAAGTGAATCCCTTCTTCTCGTGTTGTCCCCTCTCACATGAGAGCCGTGAACAGGGACGCGTGTGTTTGCCTTTGTTTTGAGTATTTTGTTCCTTCCCAGACTGAGAGGACTTACACCATCAGAGGCGATGAGATGTGAGTGAGCTATGCCTTGTGGAAATGGACAGACTTTAACCAAGCGAAAACATGGCGTCTGCGTCCCGAGGCTTAGCTTCTTCTCCAGTCTGCTTGTGGCGCTCTGCTGCCTGGGGGCATGGGGCTCCGGGCCTGCGGGGGACGGCGGCCGGAGCTGCAGCCCCTGTCCCGTCAACTGCAGCTGCACGCCGGCGGGGCCCCTGCCGTCCTGCGCCGTCAACTGCTCCCACCTCGGGCTGGAGAGGGCCCCGGCAGCGGCGGACATCCCGCCGGACACCACCGTGCTGTAAGTGCAGAGATGGGGGGGACAGGGTCAGGGATGTACGAAGTGGTATATTGAACATGGAAAGCAAGTCATAAGCTACTTTGTTTAAAATATTTGAATTTATTTGACAACTCAATTAATTTTTTCTGTGTAAGGATGCTTGTTGTGTGCCATACAGTGACAGTAGCTAGGGGTCACAGGCTAGTTTACCATGTTTTTGTTTACGCCACATCACACCATAGGCCTACTACTAAAGGATTTCAATTAATTGTATTTGTGCTTTTGTTTTGGTTGTTGTCATGTTGTCGATTATTGATTGGTTAATCGACCAACATATCTTCACCTCCTTTGATAATCGATTTGTCATTTGCGAGAAGCAAAAATGTGAGACATTTAGCTGGTTCCAGCTTTTTACATTTGTGTATTTACTTGTTTTCTGTATTGTGTATCATTGTGTATCATCTTTGTGTTTTGGGTTGCATTTTTGGCCATTTTCTGACAAATTAATAGGGAGGATAATTGGCAGATTGGAGAATACTAAAAGGAATAATTTGTTGCAGCCAGCCGCCAGATTCACTCTGACAGATGTTGTGGTTGGATTGATGTGGCCTTTAAAATAATAAACTATTCACCATTGCTGGTTGTTAAAAAAAAAAGACAAAGAAATATATTAATAATATTTCAAGAAAAACATGCAACATTTGATTCACAGAAGTATAATTTGAAAGAAGTAGCACTTGCTATGCTTAAAGGTGACTTTTTTTGGTGTGACGCAGGCTTCTATTGAAGGCCCTACCTCTTGTGACACTGTGTGTGTGTCTCAGTGTGTGTCTCAGTGTGTGTCTCTAGTAGGTAGTATACATGGAGTTGGTCACCAGAGAAGTGAACTTGGTGTTTGTGGTGCAGCTCAGACTTCAGCCTCTGGTGCTGCTGCAGCGAGAACATTCTGTTCTGCGCCGACTCAAGACACATGCTATCAATTATTTATTTCCCCTCACACTTCCTTCTTATATTTAAGATATTTACCCTTTATACCAGGGATGTAGTCAATGTACAGGAACATCTTCAAGAGGCTTTAGAAAAAAAAACATATATATAATTTAAATTAGTTTTTGGAGTGAAGTGTAAACTGAAAATCTTCACATCTAATGGCAGCGTGCATACGTGTGCTTATTTTGAATGGATTTAAACCTTTCCCTTAATGGCGTCCTTAATGGCGTCTTCAATAGCGCTTGACATTTAATGTTAGTATTTGCATAACAGAGAGGTAAAGTGCTCTGTTAGGTGCCACGTAATGAGAGGCAGACCCTTCTGCAAGATCTGTCTCTAATCATGTCAGACTCTATCGGAGTGCTAATTGCTTTGGTCTATATACAAACCACCTTCATCTCATACCAGCAGAGGCCATATGTGTAGGTGACTGACTGTGAACATTATTGTCCTTGCTAATTTGGCCCCTTGACTGCTGCTCACCTCCCTACAGTATATGCAGGAGCATGAAATTCAAATCAGATCTTCTCATTAGCTCAGATTTCATGGCTGACAATGGCAGAGGGACATGATTTGTATTTTATAATGCTTTAGACAGTCCTTGGTCTGTGTAAGATATTCACTAATTATTTATTGAAAAAAAGGTCATTTTCTCTCAGGGACTTGTCGAGTTACTTGCCATAATCCGAGGCAGAGAATCATTCTCTCAAAATAACAGAAAGGTAACTACAGTTTCTATACATTCATTTTCTAAGCTGATAAAAACAGCACATTCAAGCCACTTTGCTAAGAATTTATCGCTAACAATGTCACATAATTAACTTTAGAAAAAACTGAATGAGACAAGGGTTGAAATATGTGCAAGAACCTGAAAAGAAAGTGAGGTATTATACTTATAGCCCCTATTCTTTAGGAATTGAATTTGAGACCTTGGAGCAGTAAACAAACCGTGGATCTGCACTTGGTTGATTTTCATTTACTCGTCAACAAAGAAGAGGCTATAAATGAATAATAGTAGAAAAACTGTGTGTGTGTGTGTGTGTGTGTGTGTGTGTGTGTGTGTGTGTGTGTGTGTGTGTGTGTGTGTGTGTGTGTGTGTGTGTGTGTGTGTGTGTGTGTGTGTGTGTGTGTGTGTGTGTGTGTGTGTGTGTGTGTGTGTGTGTGTGTGTGTGTGTGTGTGTGTGTGTGTGTGTGTGTGTGTGTGTGTGTGTGTGTGTGTGTGTGTGTGTGTGTGTGTGTGTGTGTGTGTGTGTGTGTGTGTGTGTGTGTGTGTGTGTGTGTGTGTGTGTGTGTGTGTGTGTGTCACAATATGGCTGTGCATACCGTGTGCGGAGGCCCACTGTGCAACCTTTTTCATCCACACTGAGCTACTCCTGCTTTCATTCACAATGTCAGTATATCAATTACTTAAATGAGAATTTGACTACAAAACACATTTGCTGAATTAGTTTTCTATTGACTGATTACTATATTGATCGCCTAATTGTTTCTTGTCTTTTGTAGATACGTGATCAAGAAAAAGAGCATCAATTTGTAGACTCTTCAGTTAGTTAATGGATTTGGTTAACAGTACTATCTTTTAAGAGAATGATTCAAATATTTTGTTGATGGTTTCTATGGTGATAAATGGACAATATGACACCATCCTGATGAAGGCCAGGTAATGAATAAAGCTTGGTGTGCTTCTGTGACGTGTTTAAGCTTTAATGGACTTGCTTTGATGACTCACGCTGGTCAGCACATAAGTTCAAGTATTAGACAGAGGCTACCACTTGACAATTTAAGGAGAGGCAGATGCATGTAAAGCTTTTTCATTTACATTTCAGAGGCATTTACTGTGGTAAAACGAGGAAGTTCTGACAATATAGCAGGTCTGAAATGTGACATTCAAATGTCTGCTGGTTGTGAATGTGTGTGATAGAGGTGGAGAGTGAGAGAATGGAAAAGGCATGATGAATTTAATGCTGAATTTTTCAGGAACTTGGTAGTTTCAAAAAGACGACAATTATTATTTCTATAATAAAAATTCTGCTTCCCAATTATAGAAGTACATTCAACTAGTCCATTCACATGTTGATATGTCACAAACCCAGAACACTACTTTAACAGCGTTTTTCTTTCAGTGAGAAGCAACATGTTTCTGATCCGTCAAATTCAAGGTTGGACAGTAATAAATAACTGAAGCAGCTCTGAAGTCACTTCTGGGAAATGATTGTGGATTACACTCGGATTTTTAAAGTCTCTATAGCCTTCGTTTAGTATGCAGATTGCTGTAACACATTTTTATCGCGGAGCTGTGCCTGCCCTGGCTGGGACAATAGGCAATGAAAGTAAATAAGAAATTCAGTCTTGTGTGTCTGAACGTACTCTGTTTATTAAAACTGATCAGTTTACAATGATAGACGAGATTTGGTTGTAAATCATTTTATACATTTATTTGGCAACAACTAAATAAATGGATTGCTAAGTATTTCGAGCTTCGATTTTAATGCTGTTACTTTCTCTTAAAGGCTTGTTCACCTTGGTCAATAGCTTTCTCGTTAGTGTAGGATACGCTACTGATGATATTGGACTTATATCTGCTGAATCATGTGACCTTTTGTACTGCACATACAGCACCTTCCATATCAAGGTCAGTTCAATCAGTTCTAATAAAAAATAATCCAGAGGCCATGTCAGAGATGAAGGATGTCATCCAATGCAAGTTCACTTTTTAAATTACAGTACAAGCTGAGAAGAACATACAAACATAACGGCAACGAGACATCCACACATTATTTGCAATATCTGGTAAACAAACATGTAGGAGGAAGTCTTTTATTTTTTAAAGAGTTCAATGAACAAAAGATGTGCTATATTTGTTTGGCTTGAGTCTGCCAACAGTCTTGCTGTACATTAAGGTACTGCAGATGTGCTTTAATTTGAATGTTAGTGCTAACAAGCTTAGAATTAGCATGGGAAGAATAACGTGTGAGAACTGGAAACAATGTTAGAGATGGGCCACTGTTCATTCCCATGAAAGTTGATCAGTGGCGCATGAACCCAAAAACCTGACCCTCCAGAACAAAAATACCGGGATCCTGGGATCTTTGATGATATGTTAACATCTTAGCATCACCATTTCAATGCTAATGTTAGTTGGGCCTCAAAACAGTAACAGTCATAACATCGTAACAGTGTCGATGTTTGCATACTGACATGCCTAACACTGCTTGGACGTTGCATTGGATGCAGCTTATATGTGCTAGCAGCATGTTACTTTTTTAATGCTAGCATTGGTTGCCACCAGTTGATGTTTTTGGCCACTTCATTTAACCTGTACAGCATCTTAACATACTAGCACTTTAGTGTGTACCATGCTAACACTGGCTTGTAAGCAACCCGGTATCACGGCAAGACGTGAATATGTCACGGTTTCGTCCCTTCAAACGTGACAGTTACACGGTATTGTTAACATGGCCCAACCAGTGGAGAAATACCCGGAAGTGCCAAGCAAATGGTCTACCGCGACTATTGGTCGGTTTTTATTGTCAAAATGAGATGTTTTTAATTTATTTTATTTTATTTTTAATCGTCACACTTGATTTCGCCGATTTTCTTGTTGCCCTAGCTGGTCGACACCTCTTTTAGCAGAAACAAAGGCTACATTAATGTATTAAATCGATGTTAATCCATGTGTGTGGATCATAGACTAGTGTGGATGTGGAATTAACGGACGTGACGTAACTTGTGCGATTGCGTTGCCAGGCACATCTATGGATTCAGAATTTCAATAGCTTACTGTTAAATGACGGATATACCTTTCTGTCTGATGTTTTACAAATCAGATATTATAAGTAAAACATGTGAAATAATATAGCAATATCCTGTACAATTATGTGAAAACATGAATAAAACTACACATCTTCAGATGTTATACATACACGTGTCCTACACTAATAATACAAAGTTATTATGGCTGTGTGTACCTTGTGTGCACCGCCTAGTGGTTAAAGCACGTTATTGAATTAGTTGTGTATATGATATGTCAA